CCTGGATGCACTCCTCCCCGATCCCCCGCAGCAGATCGAACCGCTCATCCAGGGTCATCGCCGCCACGCCCCCCGCCAGATCCTCGGCGGCCGCTGCAGCGGCGGAGGAGGAAGAGGAGGCGCCGGGTGCCGGCGCGGAGTCCATGGAAGCGGCGGAGGAGGAGGAGGAGCAAGGATTCGACGAGGTCGTGCCGTGAGACGGCGAGGAGGGGATGGCGGCGGCGTGTGGGTGTGCGTGAGGACGAGAATGAGATGGCGGCTTCGGGGTGCCGCGAAGGCAGCCAGGGTTTTGCTGCGGAACCGGGCCGCGTCACCGACAAGCGAGGCCCAGTATCATCGCGGGCCGTTGTTGGTCACGTGTACACCTGTGTTTCTGGTGGGCAGAGATTTCAGTAGGCCGTCTGTCGTCTCTGGCAATGCGCTCGTGCAGGCCCAGCCAATTTTTTGTTTACGCCGCCGGTCCTTCGCGCAGGAGGCCGCGGCGTAGGCCTCGCGCCGCCTGTTTTGTGCCCCATCATGTAGACCCACACTGCGTATGGCTCTACCATCCCCCTCACACTATTTCGCCTGACCATCGCGCCCTCACGCAGGAACCCACGTGGGACCCAGCCTGCCCCGTCGATGGATGCCGTACCGCGGATGCGTCTATCTAAAGTTCAAAAATTTTGAAATTCAAATTTTGCAAATAATCTCAGATGTAGAATCGACCAAAAGCAAAATTGTAGATCTCGATGAAAACTACAACTTTGTAGTTGATGATTTTTTCATTTGAAATCATTTGATGTCCCAACAGTATGGCCGAAGTTTTGACGTTTTGAAATTCAAATTTATCAAACAGCCTCGGATAACGAAACCACCAACATCAAAGTTGTAGATCTCGACCAGAATAACAACTTTGTAGTTGATGATTTTTTTATCTGAAGTCGTTTAGGGTTCTAAATATTCATTTTAAAATCCTAAGAAGTTAGTACTAAATGAATATACATGATGTATGGATACAAGTGATTTAGGGGTGGAGTGGTTAGAGCAGCTATGCATAAGGGCACAGGTCTCAGGTTCGAATCCTAGCACCATGTAGCGGTGGATTTTTGCGGCTAGCTGGTGAGGCCTTCCTGGGATTTAAAAAAAAACTTCGTTGTTTTTTTACTCGATTTTGGAATTTTTGAAAATCCTTATCACCACCGGTTGGTAACATAGATCGGTGGTGATAAGTTTTCATCACCGCCGGTTTCCTAACCGGCAGTAATGACAATGGGCATCAGCGTCGACTTACACTGCCGAGGGCCAAAACCGGCGGGCGATGGGGTCTAAAGCCGGCGGTGAATACCTGTTCTGTAGTAGTAAGAGACCTCCACGTGAGCAGTGATGGTGACGGGAGTGGTAGCGCCGTGCGCGCATGGCACGGCCATGGGTTCAGGAGCTGTGGTAGGAACCGCATGGCGGTCGAAGTGGCTAGTGCGGAAGTCATCACCGATGACGAGTGAAGCTATGGACGTACGGGCGTGGGTGGAGGCGGAGCACGAAGCCACTCAGCCACACCGGCTGCCACAGCTCACTACATGCGAAGTCGAGTAACCGTAGCAGCGGCAAATGGTGACCTTGCCATCAGCGATGCCATGTGGTGAAAGTGGGGGGTGGAAAAGTGAGATGAGAGGATAAGATATGAGAGAATTAATAAGATCGGATGGGTATGAGGATAGGGGCATCTAAGGCTGCTTGTGAGTATATTTTGTTGAGCAACACGAGCGACTGCGCGGTGTTGGGCTGTTCGGACGGACGTCGAGGCCCACTAACGTGGGTCTGGACGATCGGATGCCCTGCCCACTGAATTTCCGTTTGATTTTTCATCGGCTTTATTTTTGATGAGATAGCTCTAACCACAAAGAGAATCCGGATGAGAATGGGTCGGGTTAACTTATTGGGTCACAACGGCTGGCATTATAGTATAAAACTAGAAAAATAATACACAGTGTTGCCGCACGACCTCGTGCAAGAGTAGCCGTGTCGTGCCATCTATGTAGAAGGCCGTGCAATTGATCTCATTGTTGCCTAGTAGGATTTGCTGGTAGTACGTAGTATATCACTTTTTTTTAGAAGAAGGAATTTTTATTTTGGTCTCTGCAAGAGGTTTGCCAATAACCAATTCTTACTATAACTTCAAACACTGGTTATATTTTTAAAAGCTCACAAAAAACGAAGCCAAACAAGGGAGCATCTATCTAAGCACTAATCTTTTAAAAGGTGACCACACATGCTTGTAGAAGACCTCCATAGTTAAAGTCTCCAATGTGCGGCGGGCCCCTTTCAAAGGTGATCTGTTGCTCTCCTTTTTCAGGATACTCCAGAAACGAGTCTAATAAGTTGCCTTAAAAATAACCCGCAAATAAGAGTATAATATTTTTTTTGTCAAAAGTCACGTCATTTCTATGGAGCCAAATAGACCATAAAATTATACTTATTCCCACGCAAATTAGAGAACTCATATGTTGGCCACAATCTAGAGGAGGCTGTAATCCAAATGCCATAGTAAAAACTCTCTACACAAATCTCGTGACATGGCAATAAAAAAAATGTTGGATGGTTTCATTGTCACAAAAACAACATCGATCATCTCCTTTCCATCGTCTTCTTAATAATTTTTCTTTCGTTAAAGTTACCTCTTTTAGTAAGAACCAAATGAAAACCTTGATTTTAAGGGGTATTTTCAACTTCCATATTGATTTGCTTAGAGGCAAGGCAATTTGTTGTAGTATATCACTAACAACACCGGAACATAAGATGTAGTCTCACACACAATTGGGACAGAGATGCCATAAACAATTTTTTAGCTTTAAGTTTATCTGAATGATACTTTTCTGATGCTAAGATGGTTTGAAGTGCAAACAATGTGAGGGCTAAGATGCTATTGTTGAAACTGAAATGGTGAGTGGTAGTAATAAAATGTAACCGGTACATCTAAGGAAGAACAATAGGCACATGTTGTAGAGTTTTCGTTTGATATACTAGTGGATATGATCTTTGATTTATGGGTTGTCACTACTACACAAAATCTTTTGCGCAACGTTTCCAAAATAGCCTCGGAGGCGGGCAGCCCGGTTGCCCGCCTCAGTTATTCGAGGCAGGGCAGCCAGACCAGGGACCGTCTCGGTTAATGCTTAACCGAGGCGGGCATTGTAACGTAACCTCCTTGGTTAATATCGATTAACCGAGGCGGTTGTCCTAACTCAACCGCCTTGATTAATATATTTACCGAGGCGGTCGACTTAAAACAACCGCATAGGTTAATCAAACTTAACCCAGGCGGGCTTTTTAAGGCAACCGCCTCCATAAATGCATTAACGGAAGGCCCGCCTCGAAAAATACTGGCCCAGCAGGCAGCCCATCTTGGCCCATTATAACGCTCATCGTATATAAACGGAAGCTAGGGTTTCATTCACCCTTATCAACACATACTCTCTCTCTTAGCCTTCTCCCTCCCTCCCTCAGATGGCGCACTCGATGTCTCGACCCTGCTCTCCCTCCCTCCCTCAGATGCCTCGCGCGTCCTCCTTCGTGCGGCGGTCCTCGCACGTAGGCTCGGCGGCGGTGGCTCTCCTTCGTGCGACGAGCTCCTCCTTCGAGCGGCGGAGGCGGCGACGAGATCGAGGTCCTCCCGGCACGGATCGACCTCTCCAGCGCGGATCGACCTCCTCGGCATGGATATGGGAGTTGCGACTCCCCGAGCGGAGGATTCGGTGGAGGGCGGCGGATCTGCGAGTGGCGACTCCCCGAGCGGCGGATCTGGTGGAGGGCGCTGGCGCTGTGGTTCACGGTGGCGGAAACGGGCTCGCTGATGGGCTCAGAAACGGGCTCGCTGGCAGGTTCTGGGCTTTTTTTGTTTTTTAATCCATTAACCGAGGCAGGCATTTGTAAGGCGCCCGCCTCGGTTAAACGTTGAACCGAGGCGGGGAAGGCAACCACCACCGTAGTTCACGGATTAACCGTGACCTTTGGACGGAGGCGGTTGCCTTTGCTCGCCTCGGAAAATAAAAAGCGTGAATCTCCGTTAAGTTTATTGTAGTAGTGTGTACCTCCTGTAGTTGTTGCCATTGGGGAAATGATGTATTGCATTAACGAATGGAAATGGTGAAAGCTTTTTGCTAACTTGTTGAATTGTAAGTAAAATTGCATGTATGATGCAAATTCTCGCAAATAAACCGAAAGGTTAAGTATGTAAAATTATAAATGATACTGGAGTTCGTAGTATCACATAAAGAGAAGCAAATCTTAACTTTCATATATGACATAAATGATCAGCCATCATCTTAATCAGTCATATTCATGAGATCAATCTGAAAATTTATACCTAAGTCAAGAAACGAGTGGCACCTGCTGCTGCAACATGAGTACAACTACTCCCAGCAAGAACAAGTTGCACAATTATCAAATTAGCAGCCATCAAAGCAACAACATCATTAGCATCAGCATGTGGTAATTAAGATTGAAATTTAAGAATTCAATGGGTTTTTTGCTCCTCGCACGAATGCCTTCTAATACTAGTTTAAATATCTTAAGAATATATGCAGAATATAAATAATATAAAGAAGAAGAGAATTCGACAATTACAAATTGTCTGAGACTAAAGAAATAAAAAAATGATGGTAAATATGGCATAGTTAAGTATTTATTGATTTTGGTAAAATGTAGGCAATAGTGTAGTCCTGTGTCAGCTTAGGTAGAGAGTAAAGTACCACTGTTGATACAAGTGGACCTAGTAATGAATCAATCAAAAGGTACGAGGCTGGTTTTATTCCTGAATCTTGTTCAGAGAGATATATTAGTGTACACGATGTGTCTATTCTGGCCAAGACCATGCATATTATTAGTGTACGAAGACCTGACGAGGACAAAACACAACTAGTATTATTACGACAGGATGAACCGTTGATGGCACATTTGATTGAGAACATCAACTTCTATTCCGATCCTGCACTAATCCATTGCATTACATGGATGATACATCACTTGAGCGCATGGTAAGCTCCACATCCGGCAATGGCGCCCAGCGGAGGAGCAACTATGTAGATCCAGATCTTGGTGTACGTCCCCGTGGCGATCGCCGTTCCTAGCGTTCTCGCCGGATTCATCGACCCTCCGGTCGACTCCCTGCTCATATTGAGCCAATACATACATAGTTAAACATTTCAATTCATTGGAAACCTTATTAGTTACTCGATCGAGAAATACTAAAGAATATTGGATCGAGGATTTATCCGTTGCACGTACCCGGAGATGAGAGCGCTCATCATCACTGCCGCCGCAGCTCCCACTGCTATCAATTCTTTTACCTGCAAGCATCAGAGATTATACAGTGTCAAAGTTTGAAATGTAACGCAGCAAGATGTTTGTTTGAAACAGTTCACCGTGGTTCCTCATGAATCTAGATAGAAAATCTTGTATGTCTTAGACGGTTGCATTTGTGAATTTACGTACTGCTCTGGGATCGGTGGAAAGAGCGGTGATGACGAAGAGGAGGATGAAGGTGGTGATGAACTCGACCCAAAACGCCTCAAAGGCGCCGATTCTAGGCACCGTGGCGACGGTAGCGCCAAGGTTCACCGGATCATAGAGCGCCTTGACCACGAACGAGGCCGCCGTGGATCCAAGGAGCTGAGCGACGACGTAGGGCACGAGGTGAGCTGGTGGGAGGTGGCCGAACACGGCCATGGTGACGCTGACCGCCGGGTTGAGCTGGCCTCCAGACACGTGGAAGATGGAGGAGACGATGACGACCACAGCCATCCCCGCGCTCGCCGCCACGCCGAGCAGGCCCAGCGCACCATTGTGTGCCTCGTTCATGATGAGCGCTGATAGCACGGTGAAGATGAGCAGGAATGTCCCCAGGAACTCTGCTACCACCTGGATCAAGCATTCATCAAACCACCATGGATTGTAGGTATTTGAAAAACTGTGGTAGTGACTAGTGACTTAGTGATGAGCTCAGGGTTTGCACTTGTCATTATTACCTTCTTGATGAGTGCAAGTGTCATGCTCTTGGCGGAGAGTGGAGGTGGATCATCGGATGCCTCGTTTTGTTGAAACCCTAGTGGCTTGGTCTTGTTGGAAGGAGACCTGGGGATGAAGATTGAGATCTTGTCATCGCTCATGTTGTCCTTGTCCACCAGCATGGAAGCCGCTGGTGCTGAAGGGATGCTCAGTGAGACGTCCATGGAGGAGACACTCCTGCGACGGTCCATATGATCTTAGCACAGTAGTTCTGTCAGAGACACTCCTATGACGAATGTGGTCACTTGGTATCTATCAATGATGATGAACTCAGGACGAGGAGGGAATGGCAGTGGGTATATATATACATGGAGAGCCCAATATTCTTTGATTGCTTCTCGGCTGGCATGCATGATGTGATGCACCTGTTTAACACAAGGGCCAACACAAACAAAAACAAATCAGCTGAGAGAATGAATGAACTCATCAGTCATCATCACGGGGCAATACATTATTCAGAAAATAGCCAAATGGCACTATGAGATGCTCCAAACTACCAACGTTTTACCTGTTCAAACCATCAGAACAGAAATATATACTTGTTTCTCCTTCCACGGGAATCTTGGTGATGTTTATTACTACTTGATGCCGTACGTCGTCTCCTTCGCTGGACGCACATCCTGATCACATGCTGAGAGACAACATTGTCTGGAGGCGGAGACCGGTAGATTGCTTAATTTGTAGACTCTACTACTAGCTAGTAACGTGTAATCAGCTGGTGTCTTGGAGAATACGTGCCAAGCATGTTGGCGAGAAAAAAATTAAAAAGCTGGTATCTTGGACCTAATATAACGCGCTGACTGGATGATGTGTTTGCCAGTGCATGCATGGAAGGTAGCTCAGATTACTTCTGTTATCACATATCATTAGTCTCGGCCGGCCAGGATCCATGCAGCTTAGCTATAGAGTTAGATCAGTTCAACATCATATTCAATGATTCAATCATCATCGTTCGTCCTCTTCGTTGTAACAAAACTCTTTCTGCTTAATGAAATACGTGCCTCGGCACGATCGTGAAAAAAAAAATGATCATCGTTCGTCCTCTTGTAAATATAAGAGGCGATTCCTTTCAGTAATCAATTGTTCTATCCGATGAAACTGTACTAATTCCGAGAGAAAAAATACCAGGCTTGGGCTGGGAATGGAAGACCAGAGACCAAGTCAAATTCCGGGACGGCAGGAACGCAAAAGGTCAAGGCCTGTACATATCCTGCTCCTCGTGCAGAAGCTGTTTGTGTCCTCCAGCGGAAGGTTGAGCTGATGTTTTTGCTTGCGTCATCGCTCCAATCCAGCCCTGCCTCGGTGCCTCCGATAAAAATGCCTTACGAGACGGCAAGGACCAATATTGTCTATAAAAAAGAAAAACCAGAAAAAAAAACAGGAAAAAAACACGTATTGCTGACTGGAACATCCAACGGAGGTAATGATATTCGATCATAAACCCTCCTGAACCAGAGATATAAGAGACGACGACATCCAGTGTTATATATTATATTAATCAACACAACTGTAAGGAAGCCCCCTTTGAGAGCTGAAGACGCTAAGGCAAGTATAGTCATTACAAACAGGTAAAAAACCAGCAAATTTATAAAGAGTAAAGTGCATTAGCAGTCCTCAAACTTGTTGTTTGGTTCTAACATCTCGGTCCTTAAACTAGCAATTCACTCATTTAGGTTCTCAAACTTGTTTGGTTGTATTATTCTGGTTCCTAAACTTGCAAATCGCTCATTTAGCTCCTCAAACCTAATCAAATGTGTCATCCTAGTCCCTCAACTCGCAAATCATCCATTTACACCATCCATCAATGTTTGGAGTTTCATGCTGATGTGACAATTATGATGATATATGTGGCTGGCATCTCCCTCATCCCTCCTCTCTCTCCTCCCGTGAGCTCATGACTCGGGGGTGGCATGGCTTGGGAGACACAACTGGGGCTAGGGGGTGGCACAACCAAGGTTGCTATGGCCATGGCGGCACTCGGCGCCCAAGGGCTTGGCACGGCCACGGGCGCAACTAGCCGTGTGAGGGCCCGGGGCAGTATGGTCACTGTGTTGTATAGCTTGAGGCCTTGGGGGAGGGAGAGGAGAGAGAGTGAGCTCATAGGAGAGGATCATCACCAATAATTTCATTCAAATCATATACGCAAGGTTTATGCAAACCTCACTAAACACTGGTACTAAACCTAAAACAACCACTAAAGTGGTCTCTAACAAGCCTAATCACTAATCCTAATGCTTTTGCTAATCGCCTAATCTTCTCTTAAGCACATTTGATATATGGCTAGAGCACTATGAAATGAGCCTTAACTCAACTACAATTTCAACACACTATAACGGACTCCAAATGGTTGGGGATGGAGGTATGTATAGCCCCACAAGCACCAACTAGCCGATGGAGTTAGGGTTGCCTTGGTAGGGTGCATCGGAGCTCTCTAGGAACCACACTAGAGATTTCTAATGTCCTCTATTGCACCAACTAGCCATTGCAGACTGCAGTGAAACCACGGGATAAATCCGGTGCTTAGTCTAGAGCATTGGGTGCTATATATGAAATGCATCAGCAAGCTTTGGTAATCATCTCTTCTAAGCCACCCATGCATCGACTTTCTTACATAACTCCGGTGTAATCTCCAATGCACACAAGAGAAATATGTGGTGCACTTTTTTCCTCTTCTGCCTAAGACTCCACCCACCGGATAACTCCGATACCCACCGGAAAACCCCAGTGCTTTCTCTAATGCTAACTCTAGTGCTCTTTGACTTGCATTTCTTCACATTCTTTTGTTCGGGCTTCACTTTGATGTAATGAGCTTCTTGCTTGTCTTTTAGGGTCTTCAAAGCTTCTACTTGATCTTCATTTGAGTGTTGCATTGATTCCTTGATCGCTACCTTAACCTAACTCATTTACTCAAGTCCATCCTCATCCCTGGGACTAAGGGTCTGTTTGGTTCAGCTGTGAGCTATTTGCTGTGAAAAAACTATAAGATGTTTGGTTGAGACACTATGAAAAACCTAGCCCTATCTTTATCTCCCTTGAAACAGTTGTAAAACGTATCTATTTTCACCCATTTGGAAAGCTGAAAGCCAAAAACATAGTTTAAGATACAGCAAAAATTGTACTACACAAAAGCAGTTGCTTTTGGACAAGAAGCTTGATGTTCCAACACATTTGGTTGGCGTTTTACATTTTGGCAGTAAAAGCGCTTTTTAGAAGCTGAACCAAACACAACCTATGAGCCTGTTTGTTTGACCTGCAATTTTTAGGCTTTTGGCTCAAAAGCTGACTTTATGTCTTTTGGCTTCTTGCTATTGGCTTTTGTAATTAATTTTTAGTTTTTCAGCACACCAAAAGCTAGAAAAACTGCTCTGAATACGCTTTTATCTTTTAGTTTGTTTCCTTATAAGTCAACTTCCAGCTTCTCAAAAGTCAACTCAATGGTTGGGCTATTTGTTTTAGCTTTTGGCTTTTGGCTGGCATAAGCCATATAAAAGCTGAAACAAGACTCTAAACCGCCTTGTATACTAGCAAACATTGTTAGTCCTATTGGTTATGATATCATTTAACCACCAAAATCACTAAACTCTTATTACAGTCCATACTTTTTTATGAGTGTAACTAATATATATCACAACAAGATAAATATAGTAATAATAGTTGTATTAGAATGTGAAAAGAATGAGAGACAAATTCAACTAAATACATTTGATAAAGGAATCATAAATGGAGATGCGATGTAAATAAACAGGGAAAACTATGAGTCGGGATCGTCAAATATATAGAGTAATTGATAACTAAAGTTTGTCATAAAGATAACATAGTATCTAGATGAATATTATGATAAAATATGAGCAAATAAGAGAGAGCACAGATAAGCAATTCAGTTAGTTGTGGCTTATAATTTGTATATGATCATATGAGATTTGTAATGCTTATATCATTTAGAATTACTAGCCTGCGTGGTACCACATATTGATGGACTAGTTACCCAAATGAATACTGCCGTGGTCAAAATACCTGACACATTTGACTTTATACGCTCTTAGATGTGTAGGTTTGATAACTAATTTTGTTCAAAATATATTCTTAAAAATCCTTTGAATTTGTGGCATTTTGCAAGTATATTTGAATACAAATCTCTATACATGTATGTAACATACATGTTTCCAAACTAAACATTAGAAGTTATTTACTTTTGTAGTTTTATTAAGATTTTACAAAATCTTGTCCTAAACAACATGTTTTTGAGATCCCCGGACGAAGTATAATCCCTCGACAAGAGAAAGTAGGCATGATTTAACCTGATGGAGTTTGGTTCATAGGCAGCTAAGATAGATTTGATCAACTTGCAATCATCCAATGGGAAAAAAACTCGATCAACCAGGGGTATGATCTTTTCCAGGCCATTGCTTTTTTAAGGTAGAAGAACTTGAATTTACTGGCCAAGAGAATCCGCATACCTTAGCTTTATGAGTGATGAGATTTTTTTAACCAACATAAATTCACCTCCGAACCTAGGGCATGAAGCTGCTACTAAAGCACTGTAACCACTATGCTACGGTTTTGTCCACACAAGTATCTAATGGGATCACGGAAATGAAAAACACAATATAATTGATCGATTGGCTGGTACAGTGGTACTACAAATGTAGCCGAGCAAGAGTTAAGAGTAAAAGGAGCACAAACAAAAATGGCACAAGGCTCCTTATATTACTGAGTTACAAGTTTTTCTTCATAATAGCATTGGATGATAAAATATGGTTTTAACATGAATACTTCAGTAATAAACTATTGGTGAAACAAGGAAACACATGTAAGCTTTAAACAGAAGAAATCCGTATCTCTCAAAAATTAATGGAATGATCAGAAAGAAACTTCTTCCAATGGCAGTTCATTTGGGGTCCACTGTATTTTCTTCCAAACAAGCATACAAGCAGTTAAGTGCTCATTTAATTATTCATCCAGTTTTCAAATGGCTTTAGAAGAACTGTCAAAACAAACATCGAGTTTTCTTCTGGCTACTTCTCAAAAACAGATCAAGTACTAGAGAGTTTCTTAGGAGAAAAGCATGGAGCTTCAAAACTACTACTGTGTGTTGTGCAACTCCAACTCGGACGAATCACTTGAACACCTCTTCATCAGCTGCCCATTTGCTTCGGCTTGCTGG